CCCTGCCGCTCCCCCCGTGCGCTCTTCCCACCCTGGAGAACAGGCCTCCTTTCAGGCAGCCCTGGCCTCGCCAGAGGAATTTGCTCCCCCGGCAAGCCCCAGCCGGCTGCTCGCAGGGGAAATAGCTGAGACGCCGGGCAGCGTTTCTTGCATAGCTGCTCCATCAGCGCTGACCACAGTGCTTTCCATTGCCTGGAGCCAGGGCCTGCCTGCCCCAGCCCAGCTGCCAGCTGCTGCTCTCCTCCTCTCTGTGCACGGGGAGGAACGGTCTGTCCCCCAGCAACATGGAGGTGGCTGAAGCTGCTTCTCTGCGCTGCTCTCTGCTGCACATGGGAGCAGAGCGTCTGGCAGAGGTGTGAGAGCTGCAAGAGCTGGGATGTCCCTCCCTTTGCCCTCGTGTCATGTCCTTGGTCTCTGCCCCTGGCTCTGCTGGGCTCTGTTCCCTCTGAGCCAGTTGAGGCAGCCCATCTCTGCTGCGAGACTGCAATCCTCGTGGGTCACAGCCCCATGGTGGGATTTCTGCTCAATAATATTTGCATTGCATCTGGTGTGGGGGAACCAGCACTTCACCGTGTCCCTGCTGCGCCAGGGTGGCCCCGTGCCTTCCCTCCAGTGTGGCACTGTGGGGCTTGGGTGCATGCCTGAGCTCCTGCTGGCCCCTTTCTCTCACCCGCATGGGCTTGAGAAGGGCAGGTACCATCTTTCTCCAGCCCAGCACTGGCTGAGGGTGGTGCAGGCAGCTGCGGGGGTACTGGTATGGGGCCAGTCCTCGCGCAGCCGGGGCTGTGTGGGCTGGGAGGGCTTCCTTGCTCTATGTGGGTGCTGGAGGTCGGTGCCAGGGACGGGGGGCAGCTCCCATGCTCCGTGCCTGAGCGTGCCAGCCCGCTGTGCCTCCCAGTCCTGCCAGGATCCTTGTCCCACCCCAGAGAAGAGTCAGCAGCCGTTGAGGAAATAGAACTGACAACTTTATAGAGAAAATAAAATTACAACTAAGAGATGGGTGTGGGAGCTGCTGTCGGCCAGCTGGAGGCAGTGCCGCCAGGGCAGGGGCAG